GTTAAACTCAATTGTTACACCTGGTAGAGCAGAACGCTGATCATTTTATTAAAGATGAAAGACTTTAGACAGTTTTTAACTCTCAGTAATGCCACAGTGATCGTTTGATATATGGACCTGCAGCGGAGTTTAGACCCAGACACGGCTAGTGACGTCAGACTGAACAACCGGATTATCTGGGTTACCTCTTATGCAAATTATAATTTAATCAGAATCATTAATTATTGTAGTGCTACCCACTACACTAATGTGGTTAATGTGGGTAGCACATTAATTAGTGGAAAGTCCACAAAGTCCAGCAAAGGTCACTTAGTCAGTTCTAGCTGGAGATACACATCACCTTTGGGGTTATGTCTGGAAGGGCATTGGAATAAAACTGCCAATCAAACATGCAGAGTTACCTGCTGTGGTGACAAGAGTGCAGCCAAAAGTAGCTACAGGCTAAACTACACCAAAGCCACTGATTCATGTCTTCTGTCTTTTCTGCTTTTGCTGAATCACAACACTGTCAAAAGTCAAAGAAGTAAAACCTTTATTTTGAAAGCAACATTACAAAGGTGATTGATATAGCAAGAGAAGGAATGCACTATAGATGAACAGGTAATGTCAAAAACAATCTTGCCATTCCAAGTAATAGTTTAAAAAAGTAGCTAAGATTAAAAACAACACTGAAACAACCCGCCTTACTGCACTGACAGTATTAGTTATTCTGATCTGGGTAGTTTGCAGGTCAGACCAACGCTCCAGTGCCATTCCACTGGGAAAAGCAAGGAAATTAAAACTACCAAAGTAAAGTGATCACTCTCCTTTCACCTCAGACAACACTGTCAAAAAGCTTCTGGCCTGTCAGTCAACATGTGCATCAATCCTTTACATTACTACCATCTTGTGGCCGCAGTCAGATATTGTTGCTGAAAGCTGCACTTCTTTTAATCTCATAGAAAACATGTCCGTCTCTTGTTTGGCTGGAGCTGGGCAACCTGAGATGCCTACTGCTTTCTCCTGGTGATCTGTGAAGAGGCTTTGCGTATAAACTAGCCTTTGACAATAAACTGATGAGAGAGTAGTGGGAGGCAACTCTTTTTATTAATTTAGCAATGAAAGCTGCAACCATGACGGGAGTGGACGGCAGCTAGGACGTCTAATAAAACAGACAGGCTCAGCAGCCCTTTCACATTAGTAATTAATACTAGTATTAGTATCAGCTTCATGTGGGTTGAGATGTGTTTTATTCCTTATTGTGTGCATATTATATGCAAGGAATAGTTTTCAACTAATAATAAATCATTTGTGTTAATACAGTAGATATTTACTTAACTATAGTTGTAATACTTTTTCACGACCTGCATGGACCCTGACAATGTGTTCCTCGAGACGCTCCTAGTTATTACTGAATAAACGGGTGCGTTGTCCTACTTGAGGAAGGTTGTATAGAAGAGGATTAGGGCCACAGGTAAAAAAGTGGGCAGGTCGTTTTTTTCTTCTTTTACAGAATCCTGAGGAAAAAGTCAGAATTCTGACTTTTTCCTCAGGATTAATTTCTCTCAGAATTCTGAGATTAAAGTCAGAATTCTGACTTTTGCCCACTTTTTTTTCTTTCAGTGGCCCTAATCCTCTTCCGTTGCCATGGAGGATTACAACAGTGTTTAGTTGAGTGTTCATGTTAAGGCGATATCTACATGATGCTGAGACCTGAAGGTTTCCCAGGAAAAATGAGGAATGAGATCATCAGTGTTTTTCACTTTAACTGTTTAATGTTGTGGCTGATGTGTGTATTTACCGTTGTAGGTAGTTATGCACAAATGTACTGTACATGAAGATGTGACCAAAGTTATTTCCACTCAAAAAATGCCATTTTAAGCCATTGATATTGACAAAATCATCAGTAAAGGATGGTGAAATGATTTTCCTGATCTTGTCAGTGTGACATAGGCTAGTGCTGGATGCTTCAGAATTTTCAGAATATAGGTATGTGTAAAGTGCTTTGAGTAGTTGATAATACTAGATAAGGGCTATACAAAATCATTTAGCATGTAAAATTTTATTTAGCATGTATATTATTCCATGTTCTGCAAGTCCTAAAGGCATGCGGGCAGCGTCCCCTGACCAGCCTACCACTATAAACCTGCTACTACTGCCTACAAAGACCCGCTCTGCAGCGCAGTAGTTGGGATAGAAGTAATGACGTTTCCTATCATTGAACCATCCAGTGCTGTCCGAGCTACATTTGTCCTCCCTTGGGTCTTTGTCATGCATGTAATGACAGAATACCCGTTAGGAAACGGGTGTAACAAGAAGTCACTAAAATTCTCCTCGGAAAATGTAGCTGTTGTTTTTGGTCGCTCAGACGTCGTTGGGTAAAAATTATTTGGAGCAGCACAAATGATCCGGTTTAGTTCAGTGAATACAACCAAACACTGTTTTTTTCGTCTCGTTTGAGGTAACATGGCTCTCCATATAGACACAGACAACAACACTACTACCATCCAATCAAGTCGCACTCTGTCTCCGCCGCGGAAATAAACGACCAATCAGCTGTCTGTCTGGGTCCTCTGTGGAAACGAACAGCCATTCATTGCGCTGTCTGGACTTCACGGAGAGAGCGTCTGACCAATTAGCTGGCTGTCTGGATGCACCGAAAGGGTGAGTGTCTATCGAGGCCCAATCAGCTTCTCAGTGCTGCCTGCCGGTGCCGGGGACTGGTGGTGAGGGGCTGCTGCAACGCGTCAGGACCGGACCGTGAACCCGGAGACGCTACACACTGAGGCGAAAGGAGATACAGGTGAGTCCGAGGATGTGTACGGGGCCTGGTTCTGGTCAGGGATGTTTTGAAACGGCAACTGTGGATTTGACGTCGCAGCCGGACGGTTATTGTGTCGTTTTCCTGTTAGCGGATACGCTGATACGCTGTCAGACAATGGAGCGCCTTTGCTTCGCTATTTATTGATGCATGCTGACATGTTGGCGACCAGCAATGCCGCCTGCAACTGTTACTTTACATTTAAAGGCCTCCAGTCGCAACACAAACACTTATGGATCTTTTTTTTATCGTGTGTGGCTTTTTTGTTTTGATAAGCGCCGAGCTGCTAACGGACGTGTTGTAATTACATTCTGATGGAAACGTTGGTCGGAGTGCCTCCAATCCGTTTCATTGTTTCATCCAGAGTCTCTAGGGGTTAACTCAGACTCGATAAAGAAACACGGTCTTTCAGGTACTAGTACAAGCTTCTTGAGAGAACAGTGGAATGAGACGAGGTCGTGAGACGGTTTTATTGAAGCAAGGCTATATAAAGTGGCGGATTAAAAGGCGCTAGGAGGAGGCCGGGGGTGCTGATGGCTCTCAGCAATTAGGAAGAAAAATTCGAAATGCATCAGCCATTTACGTAGAGACTCAACTGACTCCATATGCACCTAAATGGCTGCCTGGCGCCTGTCAGCATAACCAACATTTTACTGTAAGGGCAAGGCTTTACTCGGGCCAGACGGCTGATTGTTTCCTGATCGGCGGATTAACGGAGGTGGATGTCGAGATGACGTTAGACACCAAACTGGAATCAATATTTAATGTGTGCTGCTATTATTCTTTGGTGCACACAAGCTCATTTCAGACAAATTGGTGCCTCTTCAGCCTCTCTGCTGCTGCTGCTGCTGCTGCTTGCTCGGGATTTCAGGCAGTCACATGCTGATATTTACATTGACTTCTTTCAGTCGCGCTATATAGGATAACACAGTACAGTTATCTTTGAGGTGAAATGGAGACGGATATCTGTGCCTTCCTCTCCTATAAGAGGTTTGTCAACAGGAGCTAGCCATTTTAACTTCATCTTCATACAGGATTGACTGTACAACTCAGATCTTTGCCACAGGAAGACTGTGGGAATAAAAGCTCTCATTGTTTTGTCACTTTTCTCTTCTTTATGGCAAATTTGTGACAGTGTGGCATTAAAGCAACGCCCGAGCCTTTGAATGTTAGGGTAAACGTTTCCAGACCTAAAACATTCAGCCTTCCACACACTTGGTGATTGTGGGGTTGTATGAATGAAAGGTCCCTGCTGTTGAGTAGTAGTGTAATCTCAGCTGTGGAGTTTTTTACTCGTCCTTTTTCTTGAATCTCCTGGCAGCCATAGCAGGATACACATCCTCGCTGCCACAGTGAAAGCTTTTTACATTTTTGTAGTAGTGTACCTCCTTGATTTTTAGAAAGGTGTGACAGTGTGGAAAAAGTAAACAAAAACAATGTCATGGTTTGTAAGTAATGTATTGTCTCGACTAAAAATGGAACAAAGAAAGCATTTGAAATGTCGAAACTAAGAAATGTTGCACATTTTAAATTTGATGCCAACCTTGCAGTAAAAGTCGAGGACGGTGGTTTAAAAAATAGTAGCTGGAAAAGTGAGTGGTGCTTAAAAAAAGCATGGTTATTGTGTCAGTAATGGTTAGTTATAAAGTGAGCATTTATCCAGCCTATAAAGGATTCTATATGAGACAGAAATCATTCAATTTCCATTTCATACCTCTTTAAGAAGTTATGATAAAAAACAACTTGAAACAATCCAATAAGATAGACTTGTTTTTTCCCAGGTAAGTAACTATTTTACAAATACCATCAGCGGTGGAGTCAGAAGGCTGCGCTGAAGACCAGCAGGTTTAAAGCTCCTTTGTTTCAGCTGAAAAGAAGGAAACATGAGCTCTGTAAGAATACATTAACATTGCTTAAATAACAGTTTGTCCAGACACTTAACAATACTTTGGTACTGATGAGTCTGGAAGTGGTACTAGTTTAATAAAAGGCTGTGGTACATGTCTCAGTAACAGTCCGTAGAGAGACATGGCTGTTCAGAATAATATCCTGACTTTGGACGCTTTGGTGTATTAGATACAGGTATGTTTCTGAACTTTCATATACATGCGGTTTTCCATGCTTCCCAGTGGCGTCTGTGGTGTGATGAGGTTAATACATTTTTTGATCTGTTCTTGAAAACCTAGGACTGTAATATTAAAGAATGTCCAAGTATATTCTTGGAAATTTCTTATTATGATCTGTGACCAGGGGTGGAAATTAGCACCCGCCACTGGCCAAATGCGGGTAAGTTTATGAAGTCGTGGTAAATTTGAACAATGCCACGTGGCGGATTTAAGTTTGAACTACGTTTAATTTGCAGTCCTGACCTGTCATGGGCGGATGTGTTGCTGCCAGTCTGCTCTAAATGCCGTTATGCGATCCGAGCAGGTACTAAAATGTGTCGTCGACAGATTGGCTGGTCAGTAGCGTCACTTGACGAGTCACGAGCACGTCTTGTTCACGAAAGTTAAAACTGCCATCTTTGAAACCAGGCAATGAGGGAAATGGCTCCAAACAAACAACGCTGTGGTTCACGAGTGATGAAAAGCCACAGACGGAGCAGCAAGTATATCTTCGCCTCGACGTCGCGGGATGCTCAAACACATTGCAATGGTGACAACCACGCGGGTTTGGTAGTACTGGTTTACAATGAAACACCAGTCGATCCGAGTCTTGGTGATCCGTCGATCCGAGGAGGTACTAATGGAAAAGGGGCTTTTGAAAGAGGAGGGAAAATTCGAGCAGTTTAGCAATGTGGTGTTACATTTGTGGAGCTAAGCAGGTGGCAGAAACAAAAACACTCCTCAAGAGGTGTTACGATGGGACGTTAAACGGCAGTTTTTTAACGAAAAATGGAAAAGAAGTGACAACGACGAGTTACGCGACTGGCTCACTTTTGATGAGAGCAGCCAGTCAATGTTTTGTTCCAACTGTCGGCAGCACACGCCTTCCAGCAGCAAGACTGATAGCTTTATTGTTAGCACAAAATACTCCGAATTAGAGGCCATCAGGGACCTCGGATTGTCTAAAGGCCATAAGGAGGTGAAATGCACCATTCAAATGTTACACACAAAATAGACAAATAATGGCTGGTGAAAAGTTTGAGTGGCCGATACAAAAAGTGAAGAAAATCTATAATTTCCACCCGTCTGTGACAACAGTCTGATATTTAAAAGATTTTTTTTTTCATATTTTTCCATCTCTCTCTCTAATCAATTATGGATGTTGTATAAACACCTGTTCCCACACAGAGAAAGGATTTACCTTTTTATGGCCTGACTATGCACACGGCTGTCCATATAGTCAGTATACTCGATAGATGTGGAATATGCTCATGTGTTCTTCAGAGGGAATGGCTGATGGGGGGGGAAATCAGTCAGGCTCAAACTTAAAAACAAGAAGCTTTCCAAAGAACTTGTGGTGAATCCACTTAGCCAAAAAAATGGATCGAAATCAGTTGTAGAAACGATAGTCTTTATATAAGGCTTCAAAAGGGGGAATGTACAACAAATAAGCTGCTCGACATCAGAGCAACATATAATGGCTTCCCGAAAACTTTCTTCTTGCTAGCTAAAAAAAAAACCCAGAGTAACTTTCGTCTACCACAAAGGATTCTGGGAAACGCAGTTTTCTAATGAAAATACCTGTTAAATGCTCCCCTTTAGCAGAAAATTAAATCTATAATTAACAGCTCTCACTAAACATGTGACTAACACTTAAATCACTTACAAAATAACCAAAATGCTGTTATCAAACAATAAACTGCAATAAAGTTACAACAGAACTGTTGCAGTGCTGGCCCTCTGTGCAGTCTGGGAATCCCTATGCTCCCACACTAATCTATCATTGACACGCCCATAGAGAAAGACCTGCTCGCAGATCTGTGCCTCCAGCTCATCTGCAGCGACTGCCCCGGGCTACACTGCAAAAAGTGAGAGCGGGATGTGACCAGATGAAACAAAACCTGAGCGTTTGTAAAGACACATTGGGAACGTATGGCTGTGCACAAGGAAGACAACAGCATAAACGTTTGGTTCGGTGATGTTTTTCATTCGTCATGTACATCACTGTACAAAGTTTGTGGATGCAGTCACTCGGGAATCTGTCATTGTATGATTTTTAATTTGGTACGAGATGTGCGTCTACTAGAAATTTCAGATGAGTTTCAGTGTCACAAGTCAAGTGTTCTGAGAATCTTGTGTGCGACTCTTATGAAGGAAATCACATTGGATATTCAAAGTCAGACCAAAGCGCATGTACTAAAAATCTTAGATCAATGGTCACAATCAAGCTTAGAGGTCAAGTTTTTCTAAAAATCTAAAAAAACAAAAACATGGCAACATAAGATTTTTTTTAAAAAATCATACCATACGTTACACTACTAAAAATCTCAGACAAGTTTGAATCCCGATGACTTTGTCGTCAAGGTCAGAGGTCAATTTTCTGAAAATCACCTGGGATTTTCAGATTTATGCTATAGGTGCATCTACTTGGTGCCAGAGGGGTACTTGTATATAACCAAGCATGAAAGGTGCAACCATTTCCACTGTGTATGTCAGCATGGAAGAAACCAGCACTAGCTCGGGTATCGTGTGTTTTAGGGCTGCATCGGTTATTCTAACAATCGAGTATTCTGTTGAAAATTCCCCTGATTAATCGAGTAATTTTAATTAAATTAAAAATTAAAGATAAAAAAAAAATTCAAATGAAAAATCTAATAAATAAAGCTATGTATGTGATCTAAACTAAGGCATAAAAAAGTATCTTTGCTTTGTCTTCTTGGAGGCTTTCTGATGTTAATGGGGATAAAAAGAGTTCTGTTTTATTTCCTGAGGTAGATTCGGTGTGTGTTCATGTTTGGTTGGTTAATGCTTAACCCTAAACCAAGACATGATGGTGGAGATGGTAATTAACATTAATAATAATGTTAATATGACTGA